GTCGCTTTGGACCAATCATCTAAAGAGTAGAGGTTGATTGCTACCACCTGCACATCACCATCGCCGCGGTCGGGAAGGCGATCAATTTGGATGGAAGGAATGGGAACGGCAAAGGCGGTATAGACCAAGCGAGTAACTTTAGGAGGTTGAATGCTTGGGGTTGGACGGGTTGTTCGGGTTTGAGTGGTCAAATCCGACTTGAGTCGCTTCTGGATGTAGTGATAGTCAAAGGTTAGAACCCGCCATAACTTACCTATGTCTACCATAAGGGCGGCCATCAATTCTAATATAATCTAGAGTCTAGAGAGCAACAAAGCATAGCAAGGCTATACAGTACAGACACTGTTGCTTTGAAGCTCATATTCAGGATCTTCCAGCAGCTGGTTTTGGACCTCTTACTTGGGTTGTGGACACTAGGAAGCGGAATCCAGAGAGTCTGTTGAAAAGGTCGAGAAACCAGATCCTACTCCACCCCTCCCACGTGGAGTTCACCTCCGTTCCGACGTGTTAGTTGTCTCGCTGCGCCTGCCAGGCCACGATGATCACGAAGCCGATGAGCCCTGAGCCCGGTCCGCCCCACCGGGGAGAGCGGTGGTTTCGCGGCGGTTTCTTCCAGCCATGGGTCTGAAGGATCGGATAGGCTAAAGCAAACGCCCAAAAGAGCAAGCACCACTGACGGAGAGAGAAAATCAAAGAACAGCAAACCAATGCCCAAGAATCATACCTGAGAAGCTGCAAAACGAAAGCCGGCGCTTCCCTTTCTCGACAACTGCGCGTCGAAGCAAGCAAATGAGCTCGCGCAGCTGCTTGCGGCCGCGTGTCAAATCTGCTTCATGTCTTGTTCTGCCCACACAGAGGTAACCATGTCAAAACAAAAACCTGCGCTTCCTGGCAATTGAGGGGTTCGGTGTCATTTTGCCCGGATTTTTCCTCTGCACAGGGGGGGGTTTGGATGGAATCCGATGTTTTAGGCCGTAGCCAAATCTATCCACATTGACATCATTTGGTGTCTACCAGGACCTTCAAAGTGACCGTCCGAGATCCCAGAATGAGGTCACTTAGTCACTTAGTCCCGAATGAGGTCACTTGGAGACTCCAAAGAGGTCATTCTGAAGGTCCTGGTGTTTCATTCCACTTCCAGTAAGACTAAGATCCTTTGTTTCTGGTGGCTATGCGCAAGCGACTCATGCTCTTCAAGGAGCGCTGTAAGTGAAGTATCGGAGTGCTCTTCTGAAGCTAGCCTGGGTCCGTATAAATACTATGTTGCTATACCTCTTACACACCTACACAAGTTCAAAGCACGAATGAGACTTGCACACTGTGGATTGCTGTGCGTGTGTAGAGGCTATCGAGCGGTTGACGGAAAGGGAACTTGAAGTACTATACCTGGTAGCTGCACTATAGCTACCCTGGGTCTCAAAACCTAGCAAGGTGCCAACTACACCTTTATTTTCAAGGTGGCCTGAACAGAGTGTTTTAGGGCAGCAAACCGTGGTCTCAGGCCACCTTGAATTTAGCTTGAAAACCACAGCTACATAGCTACCTTGGGTCTCTATACCTGGCAAGGTGCCAACTACACCTTTATTTTCAAGGTGGCCTGAGCCTGGTCTCAGGCCACCTTGAATTTAGCTTGAAAGCCACAGCTTTGAAGCCTCATGCGCGCCATACCTGGGAACAGAATTGTAGCTACAAGACCTTTATTTTCAAGGTGGCCTGAACAGAGTGTTTTAGGGCAGCAAACCCTGGTCTCAGGCGACCTTGAATTTAGCTTGAAAACCACAGCTTTGAAGCCTCATGCGCGCCATACCCGGGAACAGAACTGTAGCTACTTGTAGCTACCCTGGGTCCGTATAAATACTATGTTGCTATACCTCTTACACACCTATACAAGTTGAAAGCACGAATGAGACTTCAAAGCTGTGGATTGCTGTGCGTGTGTAGAGGTTCTCAAGCGGTTGACGGAAAGGCAACTTGAAGTACTATACCTGGTAGCTGCACTATGGCTACCCTAGGTCTCTATACCTTGCAAGGTGCCAACTACACCTTTCCATTCAGATGATGCAAATGATGCATTTGGCATTTCTTGCATCACCACCCCTCAAAAATCACCTCCAACACAACCTCAAAAAACCTTCCCTCGGAGCACCCTCCTCCCCCAGCATGTGCCGAGTTGACGTGTACCTTTCTCGGGCCACCCCCCCCCAGACCCCCTAACTACTCACTTCGTTCGCCAGACACAACTCCGCTAGCGCCTTCTACGAAGGCTGGCTTTCGTAACATACTACTTTTGTTCGCATTCAATAAATAGACATAGACACAAAAATCTAATGTAATGGTATTGAAAGCTGGCTGACTTGAAGTCTCTACAGTATTGATTCTGTTGACCCATCAATATTGATCCATCAATTGAAATGGGATATTGGCTGGAACAAAATCGAATCCTGCCCACATCCCCCCACAAGATTCCTTCCACCAGGAGGGGTGGGGACAACAATCCTGCACCACGAAGGTGCATAATGTAGACTCTTGATTAACAAAACTTCCATATGGAAAGGTTTTGCATGGCTTTGCCATCCAAATGGGGGGTTTTGCTCATCAAGAATCATCCACATGAATGTTAGTACAAGAATTGGCATGGAAAGGCTTCCTGCCAGGGTCATACCTGCAACAAAGGGACTTAGCCCCGCCTGGCGGTGCCAAAAACCTTTGGAGATGATATCTTCTTTGGCCAAGCATTGCCAAACATGGCCAAACTGTATGGGACATTTAAGTCTCCTCGTTGCTGTGAAGTGGAGATTTTGCACAAGCGTTCTCTTGGTCTGCTTGCCAAGTTGCTTTGTCTGTAGAGCTCCTGGATTGGAAACCTGGTGTGGCCTTGTTTCAACGAAGGAGCCCAACGGCCACAAATATATGCCACATCTGACTTGCCAAAGAGGGAGGTTCATGTGACTGGATAGTGGATGTTTTTCAAGCATCTGCACTAGAAGGCTAGCCTAGAATCCGCGAGTATCTGGACCCCTGCTAGTCCTCCTTCTCCTGATCCTTGACGTTGGACTTGCTGGAGGCCCCACGTGTGACAGCTGCGCCCCTGAAACGGGCTTGGCAGCGGAAGTGTGAGGGGGCAGTGGCATCACAACCCAATCGGTTGGGATGGAGGAAACCAACCCAAGAACATGGAAAGAAGTGAGATGTGACAGATCGATACTAATTATTAGTGAATACTGTAAATTCAGGTTAGTTCAACAGGTACACATACTTAGCCGTTTGGCCATGTTCAACAGGTACACGGCTGCCCAACGATGCCTCGCACAGCGTCCTGGCATCCATCTCCACTGCGGGCTGCATCTAAACCTTGCTGCTTTTGAAGCATCACTAAAAAAGCTTTGGAAAGAACATTGCATAAAGATATTCTTCAAATCTTTTGGCAGGAGGGGGGCAGCACGGGCACAGCACATCTCCATCCAAACGTGCAATGCCATGATGAGCAACATTGAGCCTTTGTGGCCTGCAGCCTGTTGGATTACGCCCCTTCTGATTCCATACGATGGTGAAGCTGACAAGTTTCCGAGAAAACCTCGATCCAAGTATTTTCTAGTTTTCCACTAGAATTCTGGGAGCTCCGGCCCAGAAGGCACATGAAAGTCCGTGATCCCCAACCGGTGTCCAAAAGCCACCCTGTTTAGCCACTTTGCGGGGGGACAACAGGTCTGTATCCCTCCGTGGGTTGTCAGTTTGGAATCCGCTGGTCTGGGATTGGATTGGATGGTTGGTTGGTTGGTCGGTCCGTGTTTCACCCGTACTACCAGCGCAAAAGGGCTTCCTGAAGCACGTCCCGCGTTTTGCATCGACCCAGCCGCCAGCCTTCCATGCGACGGCACGGGCGCCCAGGACCTGCTTTGGTGGGTTTCTGTCTTCAGCGTGTCATCGCTGCGATTCTTTCAGCTTGAGAAACCCAACATGGATCACCCAACCTTTCAGCTTGAAAGAGTCCATTCGGACGCAAGGGGCCGGAGAGGCCAGCCAGTGGCTTCAGCCGCCCTGCGGAGTGTTGCTTTTGGTTGTTGGTGGATGTTGGTGGCAACTCTTCCGGTGGTGCTCACTGCTCGCGAACAAGGCATCTGATGCCCAAAGGAGAAACTAAACTGGTAGTAGACGTTGTAGGCTTGGTGGACAAGATTCAGCTTATTATTGTCATCATCAAAAGCAAGTCTCAGCTCAAGGCATGGAGCATGGGAACTGAGACTGCCAGTCTTTAAAGGGCCTGTCCATTCACATCAGCGCCCTTTAAAAGAAGCACGGAACAGGGTTCCACGACTTGCTGGACATGAAGGCCTGAAGATGCCTGAAACATCAACAAGTGAGAGAGCTGTCTTGGACACCGCAAATCTGAGCTATTTCATGCCATATCTGCGTTCAAGTACCACCTTCGCCATCCAACCCAACCCTCACGGTGTCGGCGGACTACACGGCCTGCACAGCCCGCACGTCTCAGCGGATCGAACCTCAAGGGAATCACCATCAATGGATGATGACGGTTAGCAAACAAAGGCCTTGATTAAAAATAGTGATAGTATTTTACCGACCGTTTCTGGTAATGGGCTATACCCTATATAATCCTATATATAGTTATTTACTGACTGTTACAGGTAATAGGACAAACCCAACCAACATGTCTAGCAGCAGCCTTTGCCAAACCTTATGCAGTATACCGTGTTCCAATGGCTACGGCTAGATTCTAGATACTATCGGCTATTGGTTTGGACACCACCTCTTCTTCACTCACTGTCAACAGATCCCGCGACTCTAGCTAACATTCAACAACGAACACTCGGGACAGCGGCCAAAGCTATCGCCGCCATTCGATGTTTCCATATTTTTCCTTAACATGTCCACGTCAGCACGCACAGGTGGCGTTTGAAACTTCTTGACACCGAAGCAGAGTTGGCGAGCGCTGAGTCCTGGCAACTTCTCGTGAGGTCGCTCTCAAGGGTAAAAGTCACTCAGGCAGTCACATATCCTGCAGAGGCCGCGGAGCAAATCCATTCCACCGAAGTTGAGGTGGCTGCCTCTTGCCAGAACCGGCCATCAGCGAACATGAGCCTCAAGGGGCGGAGATAGCCCAAACGCTCATAAACCAGGCGGATGAGCTTTGCCACCGTCTCATCTTCTCCAACTTGAAGCTCAAGGACCGATTCACCTCAGGGATGGAAAGGCTCTAACCCATAACAGGGAGAAAAAAGGAACATCAGGGTTGCCGTCGAGATGTTTTCATCAATAGCCGCAACCATGAGATTTTGGAAAGCCCCAACTATCACAAACCCTGCCGAAGAATTGGTTTCAGTGAGCGTTGCAAAACAAGCAGAACATGAGAACATGCAGTTTATGTCACCCTCCCACCTCCTAGAGTCCTGAGGCATACCAGGACCTCATTGCCTTTCTGAAAGCTGGAATTCAGAACCCATGCTGGGTGCTCATTCCGTGCCACCAGCCATTCGATGGTCTTCAAAGAAGCCTCGTACAACTTGTAGTCCGCCTTATCCTGCATGAAGCAAACGGAAGGGCGTGAAGCAAACGCCCAGCGTTTCTGCTTTGTTGAGATTCATCATATACCTACATGATATGTGTTTCTCTGGTATTTCCCATCCATCTTAAAGTTGGACCCGCCCTTGATAACTCCTTATTTTCACAATTTTCTACAGTCTACAGCAGGTAATGGCCTCCAAATGCAAATCATTGAGTGCAAAGCAGATCGAATCAGCAATGCAAGCCTAAGCATAAAACCAAAAAAACATGACGATTGCCAATATGTTTGAATCCTGAGCTGCCTGAGATTCAGCCTGTCCGCCAACACTGCTTGCATTCAACAGAAAGTCCAGTTGTTGCTGCTGCGGTTGTTGGTATGGAACTACCTATAACCTCACAAGTTGGACCCTTCAACCCCACGATTACTAATGTCGGATCCAAATTCGTATAATGGGAGGGAATAATAACAAGATATAACAAGTGTTCGCCAACTTATTCCCACACCCTGAATAGTTTAATGGGAGGGAATAACACAACATGTTTTCACCCAGGGTGTTTTAAAAGAGGCCCCGATTTGTCTATGCTTCTGCTATTGTTGCCCTTTAAATTCCTTACTTAACTAGAATGACTACCTACCAGATCCTACCAGTACCGCTACTGCTGCTACTGCTGCTACTACTGCTGCTTCTGCGACGACGACGACGACGACGACGACGACGACGACGACGACGACTACTATGCTACTGATACTGTAATTATGTTCGTCGCCGTGCTTCTGTTCAGACTCCTTCGATTGTTTGCTAGGCGGTAGTGCTTTTACTATTTAAGATCCAACATTAAAACCTTAAACCCTAAACACACATTCTCCAATATGCATTTGGTTCGCTTTGGTAGGAACCCGGTGACACCAGCAAGAGCAAGGCATACAAAGCTCCATCAAGCTACCTAATTGGGACTCCTTCTTGAACTTCCGCGGCTGGGTGTGCTCCAAGGTGAAGGAGCCTTGGCCAATCTTCGCCTCCCCAAACTTTGACCCGACAAGTACATCAAAAGCTCGCAGCCGGGGATGGCTCCTTGACTGGCTTGGGTATGATCCTGGTCGTGTGAAAACGATGAAACGCGTTCGTTCGATTGTTTTCGGGAAGCGTTCGCCCAGGTAAAACGCCGAGAAGCTGAGGAAGCTATTGGTTTCCAAGGATGACAGCAACATCCTTGGCGCCAAGAAAGAAGTTGGACTCTCCACGTGCTGGTAGATGTAGAAGGGGGTTGCTATAGTTATACACTATGGGATAATTTCTTGGAGTGTAGATTTAGCAAACGATATGCGCAGTTGCGATATGCGTGGCCAACACTGGTTGGATGTGCTAGACTTGGTGATCCACCGAGTTTGATGGCTCTACAGCTGTCAAGCTAGGAACATGTGTCCACGCCTTATACGGATTATACATTGATTACACACCAAATTATAGCACAATCCTCCTCCTCCTCCTCCTCCTCATCATCGTCGTCATCACCATCCACATCATCCACATCATCGCCCTCTCTCCATAATCATCACACTTTCTCAGGTCAATGCCAGGATAGGACAAGCCAAAAACAACATAGAACAATTGATTAACTAGCTGAGCTTCTCGACACCCTTTCCGGTGAATAAATCCCCGGCTGATTCGATCTCTCGCAGAGAGACATTCACCGCCAGCAGCTCCGCCAGCATGGTCCTCGAATGGTCGAAATCGCTCAGGTGCTCGGCATTCGCTCAGGTGCTCTCCAAATCAAAGGAAAACATGTCAAACTATTCGTGGTGGGTAAGCAAAGCCGAAACCCTCCCCAAATCAGAATGCGTGAAGTAACTTTCCTCGGCCTGCTGCACTGAAGTCATTACTTGAGGCATGCCTTCTTATATATTTCGTCCCCCCAAGGTGCCAAAAGACGTCACAGATTTGACCCCTTGGCCCCGACTTTTGCATCCAATCTTCGCATCTGCGATGTCGCCAGAGAATTCCAATCGTCTGAGAGATTTGTTGAATTTCAAGCTGCCTGGAGTGTACGGAGCATTCTTTGGCGAGTCTGTAGCATTTGAACGCGTTCGTTGTGTCCAAAAGTTCATATACGATCCGCGTTACGCTTACGCTTCAGCAAATGTTTTCAGGAGATGTTATTGAACTTGGGGCCTGAAGTCCTAACCAACCCCGCCTGCCAATACTGCGAAGCTTTGATCGTTCAGACCAGTTTCAACCAAATCCAGGTCTTCCAAAGTGCCGTTGGTTTCCATCGCTTTCGCCAAGGCCTTGACAAGGCTCAAGAAGTGGGCTGCATGAATCGAGAATCGGTCGGAGCTACTAGCCGCCGATGGTGCTGAATCAATGCGTTTTTGCGTGTGCAGGCTTCTTTTTGCGTGTTTTGCGCAAGGCACTTATACCAAACCTGCTAAGCACAGGGCGGCGATGAACAATATTGGTGCCGAACCATTTGCCAACCAGAAATCGGGCATCATGTAGTGTAGTAAAGGACTTGCACATTCTGTGAGCTCGTTTCCGCTAGGAGGCCGTGAGGCCCCTTAGTTTCGCCATATAAGTACTTATGCCACGAGGTTTCCCATAAGTCCATGTCATTTCTCCTTCTATGCACCATCTCCGGGATAGACTAGGAAAAACATGTCGAATAAGCCTCATCCCATTCGGGTAAGGATGGTCCCGTTGTCATCCTGGACTTCAGAAGGCATCTTTGGAAACCCAACTCAGCCTCAAGATCTTTGGAGATGTTTTTGGCAAACCACAAGCCGCACAACCCTCAAACCCCTCACACCTCCCAACTTGGCTGCTCAAAGCTGTTTCGCCGCAAGGAGAGCTTTAAAAGCCACGCGTTGGAAGCCAAGCCCTTGGCCAATTCCATTGCATCATCCTCAGGTGGACACATCCAACCACTGAGTCTTTCAAAGAGCAAGGCACGATGGGTCGGTTGGAGATGCTGACTTTAGATGGTTGAAGAATGTTGAAGACGGTTCAAGTTTAGGAGCTTGAAAATGGTTGAAGGGTTGAAGCGTTGAATCCCTAGCCAATCCTTTTGATTGGTAGCCATGGGTTTGTGAGTGACTTCAACAGAAGTCAGGCACTGGGGGCGGACGAATCAGTAATGAACTGCAAACTCTTTTAGATGGACTCAGACTCAGACTTTAACACATCATGCAAAATATTTGCTTTGCAGGTGTAGTACAGAGTGGGTATGGAGATGCAAAACAGTTTGCATTGGTTTCTTCGGTATTTACACTCTATTGAATATTGAGGCTCATCATAGCTCATCTACCATCATCTATCAAACATCTCCATCCCATCCTCCCATTCCAAGCCACTTGATTCAACGCGCAGCTCGACAAACACAGCTCTTCGGCCACCGGCTGCGGCTGCAGCAGTAGCTCCGACCAAACGCCGCCAGCGCCCGTCAAACGGCTGGACGACAGGTCCAAGACCTGCGCACGACCCAAGTCGGGCAGGGCAAAGGAGGGAGGAGAAATCGGCAAACGGTTGTACCTGGAATGACTACAGTATGGTCACCACTGGTCTAAAGGTCCCTAAGTTTGTTTGATGTTTAAACAAACATCTACTGTCCCGTTGTGCAGCCGCTATAGCCAAGTCTTTGAATACTGACACGTGTCGTGACATAGATCTGACAGCAAAACATCCAAGCAGCAGAAATCGAACGTGTGCGGTTAGGAAAGGGCCTGGTTGTTTTGCTAGTGACATCAGGCCTACCTGACGATCACCGAGCCCCTCGAGCATGAAGCCCTTCAACTGACCGTCAAATACATAAACTTTACTACCTGACCTGATCGATTTATACAATCATGAAACTGCCCTGATGCGGATATGGCTCAACTAATAATTAGAGAGGAGCATGACAAAATGAAGTCTGTGCCTTCAAGCCCTTTTGGCATGTGAAAAGCTCACGTAGCGACTCTGGCTGGTGGAAACGGCACCTGAGGCAACATGACGCCATCGGAGCATGAGTTCAACAAGACCGTGGACCATGCAGCCATCGGAACATTTTGGCAAGAATGAACTCAGCGTTCCACACTGACATATACCGAGCATCATGCAAAATGACGTTGATCAACAAAAATGCGGAATTCCTATTATATACCTCTTCCCTGCTCCTATCTCTTCCCCGCTAATCGTCCCGTATGATTCAAACAACATGTCTCCTCCCACCTACTTAGTTTTGCAGTCATCCAGCTATGGATGAAACATCAGTGACAATGTGATACAAAAACGTTGAGTACATGAACAGCGGCCTAGTCTGGTCTCTTTCAAGCAGTTTGATTGGCAGCATTATTGGACTGGTCCCAAAAAACTAGCAACCTTCCTCCGAGGTGATCTTATGTGATCTTCCTCAACCAGAAAAGTCCTTTCCGACGAATGACTTCAGCCCAGTGTGGATGGCTTCGCTGACACCATTCAATTCATTGACTGAGCCTGCTTCCCCCATCTTCCCTCCACACACTCTACATATGAACACTTGACAAGATTCAATTGCTGTGGGGGGGTAAACTAACCCAGGAACCTTCTCGATTTGATGCAACGTTCCTGTGGAGATCTGTGGCGCATGACCGAAACCACGCCTTGAAATCATGCCCAGTCACCGGATGATCTTCAGGTTGCTTGAAGATATCACCTGGCACGATCTGCAGGTTGTCTGCCAGGCATCATAAAGACATAAGCAATATATGCTGGGTTCCAGTTCCTACCTGACACCGGGAGTCGGGAGTACTGCGCTGGCGGCGCGGCTGCCCTGCGAATTTCTGGACACAGCTGGTCACCTGCTGCTTCCGGTGCTGCACGTTCTTGGCCACTTCCCTTTTGTCTAAACACGGTAGGGTAGAAAGCCTTGGTAGCTCACCCGCACCATGCTCAGCAAAACACGAGGGTTCATGATGTTTCCACCCCCAAAAAAAACTATGCTCAACATGTCCCTAAAAAAACACACACACACACACACATTGCATCGGAGTGCAATCTAGCCGAATCTAGCCGGTGTCCTTTCTTTGGGGCTTTCTTGGTGTCAGACTTTCTCCCATCGGCAACGCTTCTCCCATCCTCTTCCGAGGTCCACCTCGGCCAGGCTAGCGGCGTCATCATCCATGGTGTCCGCACTCAACTCCTCCAGGGCCGAGCCGTTCTTGATGGCGCCCAGTTGCACTTGTGTCACCTGCGGTTTGCCAAGGAACAAAACTGAAAGATGGGGAAGCAAATGAAACCTATAAAAACACTTGAGTCACTCGAGGGGAGAAAAACAAATACAGTAAAATCTAACAAAGACTAGAGGCATTTCAGATCTCATACGTCCCAAGCAAGATTCATTGCTACAAATGTGCTGTTTCACCTCATGGGTTGGGATGGCTGATTAGAGGGGGGTTTGGCATTGTGATGCAGCACACACTCCGTGAATCCTCCGGCTCCAAACTGCTCCAACGTGTGTCTCTGTATTTCCCCATATTTTGAGATTGGATGCTCTTGGATCAAGACACAACAAACAAAACACAGGTCAAAGTGTCCAAGGTGACTTGGGATTACCATTTTGCAACAGTCGAAAAGTGTGTCCTCCGGAAATTTAGTAGAACTGAGTTTGGGGAAAAGCCGAGACCAAGTAGGAAATGGCAAAACAACGCGATAGCTTTCACACCAGTCTTCGATCTGCTCAAAAATGGGTGCAATATATGCACAGTGATGGACAGACAGATAGAATCAAAAAAAAACTAGGGTACAGTTCGAATATATTTACCCTAAGACCCTAAGGCCCCAAAAAGCAGATAGAATATGGAAATTCCAGGGTGACAAATAGAATATGGAGGATATATAAATATATGACATGTACAGTAAATGCATATATATATATATATGACATGTACAGTAAATGCATGAAACAACAAGAATCCACCAATTGCCACACGCTTCGGTCATGCTGCTTGCTATTGTTCCATCCCCCAAATATGCTACGGTATGCAGTACGGCAAGCTGGAATTTGTTTCCAATTGTGTTTCAGTTTTTTTCCGCTCTTGTGCTACATCCCGAACTGAATAATGAACCTCAGGTTCAAACCACATGGATTCTTTGATGCTATTCATGGTAGTTACAATACAATAGTATATTATACCGACGGGCTGAAATAGAATGCTTGTCAGCCATCCCACTTCAGCATCAAACCCGGACTTTTTTCCCCTTTTCCGTCTGATCATCACCACAGAGAAGGCTTGGATAGACCAGGGTTCGTCTCCAAGCCTCCGTGGAGGTGCGGCCTCCAAGCAAAAGCAGCTGCAGGACTCGCAAGGACAAATTGCTCCTGGTGGTCACCAGCAGGTCCCCGAAAGAAAGGACCTCATGGAGGACCAAGTGAACACACCACGTTTGATCTGGGTCGGTTTCTGCCAAAAAGGAGGCCAACACCCAAAGTCCTCAGGAACATCTAGTACCGTGCCGCGTTTGTTCGGTATTTGATCTCCTGACTTCTTTATGCATGTCCCTACCTCTTCTGAACGAAGTATCCTCCGAATCGGGCTTTCTAGGACAAATCCTAGACACTACACAATAGACCGCCCAGTCAGCTCAGAAGTGGTGCAACGTTCAAACATTACATCATGCAACTGTAATTAAGGCCTTGCGCTGTGGCCCTCTTACAATGTCCTGACGGGCTGGCTTACATCGGCCAAGTGGCTGGAGGCATCGAGAGAGGCTCAGTTGCGCCGCTTCCGGGGGTGCTTGGACATGCGCCTGCAAGTTGAGCTCCTCCTGGGCCGCCCCGGAAGGCGTTTGCAGCGGCTGCGTGGCTGAATAGCCGTGGCTGAAGAGCCGTCACGATCCGAAGTGCTAAAATGCACCTGACCGATCCGACAAACGTGTTCCCACCGGAGAGCGATGGCCTCCAGTAGCTTTTTGCTATAGTAGTGTAGCTACTAGTAGCATCCTTGCTCTGGTAGCGATGCCAGGAGCCCCTATTCTTGCTCCTGTCCTAGTAGTAAGGCCAGGAGCCCCTTGTTCCCAACCGTTTCTTTGGATCCCCCCATCTTAAAGGGGTGGGGATGTCCAAAAATATCCAATTGAAAGGTTCCCCCCCCCATTATCCAGACTTGTTGCCTGGGGAGGTGGCGAAAGCTAGGAGGGAACAAGGAGGTATGGTGACGGGCTGTCACTGCGCTGGGAGCAGTGTCGCTGGAGTGCATGGGCAAAAAATACATGAATGTAATTGAAACCCATTCAACCGCGCAACTTTTGTTATGTGGACAATGGTCAGAAATTATATCAGTGAGGACGACAACGGCAGCACGCGCGCCAGCTCGCTCGATTTTTTCTGGGAAGTCGACGTCTCAGCTTCTGCACTAACAGCTCGACGAGCAGGATCAAATATTTGCACCATAGGGTTGCTTGCAGTCCCGACAGCTCGGTGGTCGGCAACTGTGCGACGTCAAATGATTTCTACATTGTACAGACGAGGCGTCACAAAGGGGTGCCTATTGGCGGAGGGGGGGCCCATGGCCACTCGATTAGAGACCAAAAGCCCAAAGCCATTGGTTTGTCACTCCGGGTATACATATAGAATCCCGCCGACAATACTGGGATATACTGGGTAGGGGGTCCTGCCACGGGTTCTATATAAAATGGTGGTAGGGACCAGGTTGGGGACATATTTAGTTGTGACCCTACCCAACATGAAGGCCTATAATTTCACCAGGCCAGACCTGAAACACTTGACATCTGGATTCCTAACGTTCAGCTTCACAACACCTCAATCCAACACACCGAAAAGACAACCAGCTCGACAGCTCCACCTGTCAGCTTTGTGACATTGTCCTGCGCAAGAGTCCGTCAAGCTCCGCACTCCGTTGGACCGATGTCTTTTTGGGTGGGTTTGGTCGAAAAAAACTTGGCTGCGAGGTAAAATCTGCAACAAATAATTGCAGTTTTGGTGGACGATTTTTCACCATTTTATTAAGTGGACGACAGTTGACTTAATGATACCAACATCCCAATACCTCGCCGCTCCTCCACCTGTGCCCTATCTTGTCTGTTTTGGGCTACTGAGACCATAGCAGCAGCAAGAGTGAATAGATCGAAGGTTGCCAAATAGGCCCTGAATGAATTTAAGCAAGTGATGAAATCTAGAAGTTCCATATGACTTGAAGTGTGTCCACCACTCCAAACCCTTCCAAAAACCACCGCATTCTTTGGGAGCGCCATGAATATAATGTTTCGACTGTGATGACCGTAGAGAACGGGCTGATTCCAGCGGTTGAAACCCCAGCTCCACCGTCACGACGAAGTTGACTGTGCGGCCGGAAGCCTCGAGTCATTGGATGTGATTGGCGATTGGTGTTGCAACTTGTTTCTTTCATTGGAGGGCACACGTTTGCTGCTAAGGAACAGGGGAGGGGAAGTCTCTTCACCTGCCGTGCGAACGCCTGCACCTCTTTGCACGAAGTATCCTTCTCGGCCAGCAGGTCTTGGAGCCGGTTCATCACGCCCTTGCCAAACTCTCTCCCCTGAAGGTTCTTCCTCAGGATGGATACTAGAGCCAACACATAACAGAAAGGGCAAGTAAGGTGGAGTAGTTGGTTGGGTCTGACCAATGGTTTGAATTTGAAACAGTCAAGGGGGGGTGAAGGTATGCGAACGCTTGCCACAAAAAGTGCTAAACTTTGCGAGAGTCCCAACATCATCAAAGTAGGAAACTGACCGCTGGCAGATCTCGCGCCACTGAACCTTTTGCTCTCCACAACGGATTCGGCCAGCGGAGTCGAGCAAAGACATCTTCTTCTCTTCATATAGCCTCAGTCAGTCTGACTCTCAAGAATTTTAAGAGCACGCTTGGCGACTATGGTTTCTAGATGTTTCTAGCTTGCGTCCGAGGCACCGCGGAAGACCAGATAACCATGTCACCAGGCATGCAGCACCGGAAGCCGAGCGGTCAAGTCCATGTGACTCAAAGGTTTCGCCACCTTCTGCTGGGGACACAGAGTCCCCTCTCTTGAAGCACAGCTAGGGCATCTATTGCGGCAGGTGAAAGTTGGATGATGGACATCATGGGCTCATTCGCAAACTGCCGCTGCGGAGCGATACCTACCAAAATGGAGCCAATGGGATCCAAGAGCTCCTGAACAAACACGCTTGCCAGATCTTGCCAGTCAATGCATCAAACACGCAGTCAGACTGCTACTGCGATCATCGATCGCCTTTAATGGTTTGGGGCAAGGCGAAAAGAAAACTGTGACATGGTATTTCGCCAAATCACCACCGGGCTGAGAGGTGTCCAGACTTCCTTGCTGAACATTTCGCTAGCTCAACAACACGAACTGAATGAATCTGATCCATGGGCAACCACTGGGCTTCGAGGCTCGCATCCTCCTGCTCCCCTTCTGGCTCACAGCGCCACGGTAGATACAGCCGACCTTGCCCACCTGTACAGTGCAAACTTTTTGGGCAACACGGACTATATATAACTTTCAGGCAGCCCTTCTGCTTGAAGCCTATTGAACGTGGCCTTATCTGTGATAATTTACCGCATCTTACAGCCGGTTGAACGGACGGTGGATAATGACAGTCGGCCGGAGGAGATCGATGAAGAGTCGCCTTGATGCACCCGGAGCTCACGTAAAAAAACAATTTGTCGAGGCTCCAGCTCCTGAATGTCTCATTGCGATTGGAATTCTTGCTGCATCTTACTATACTACCCTAAATCCACAACACAATAAAAAGTAAGAAGGCACTTCGACAAGCTCAGCAGAGCAGCCTGCACGCTTTTCTAAGAATCCATTCTGCCAGCCCGTGCGCCATCAAGATTCCAAGAGGATGGATGGATCTTGCATTGTTCTAGAAGAAAATAATGGCCTTCTCGTAGCCTCACATCGAAGACGAATTCCTCGAGCGGCCGGCGCAACTGCTGAAGGCGACCCAGACAAGCTTCAGACGAAGAAAAAGCAGGGGCTTTGAAGTGAAAAAGCTGGGAGGGAGCCGACGGATTCATAAATCATGCCCATGGCGTCACCATTCTCACGCACAGGCGCAGGAGCCTCCAGAAGGTCAGGAACTGCACTCACTGAAGACGCATCAAGCTCTGCGGCAGCGTCCACTGCATCCTCCACGCAGCTGTCGCCACTTTCAAGCATGTCTCGGATGCGCTGCTTCACCCGCAAAACATCTTCCATACTGCTGATCCAGGCGTGCATGCTCATCAGATCCTGCCACTTCGTCTGTGATAGGCTCCGCTTCCCCCTCGTCCTTGGCACGGGGACTGCAGAAATTCCGGGAAGAGGATTCAACCTACCAGCTACTCTCACAATCTCTCAACAGCTTCGGGCACTTCAAAAAAGACAGCTGCACACTTTTACCGATATCCGATACGCAAAGCAACTTCAGCCATGCATCTCCCTCTCTATGAGAGGATCAAGGTCACATTCTTCTGCGCTGCCTCGAGACAACAAATCACAACCCCCGTCTTTCCACCAGTTGAACAGGGTCTCACGAATGTCTTGGGGCCGGTTGCCACGGGTCATCCAAGACAAAAAGCGGCTGGCATTTTGCGGAGCTTGCGCTGCAATTTTGCGAAGTTCCTCATCCGACAAATTGTTGCAAGTGCTCGAGCTGGGTGGGGGCAGCTTCCACTTCATTTGCTGGAGGTGGCGCTTCTGCGTCCACAGGATTGCATATTTGATCGAAGGCTTCCCTGTGTAGTCCCGCTTCAGTCCGCTGAAGTGATATTCACACTGCTTCTCCGCAAAGCAATGCGCACAGCCGATGTTAGCAGCCAGGTCTTTTGCGATGTTGCATATCGTGCACAAGGGCAGAAACTTGGAAGACCAGGCCTTCCCATGCTTGGCCTGTAGCTGCGCCAGGTTTGCCAGCAAAAGGTAATAGGCTAGCAACGCATTTCTTGCCATGATTGTCACGCTGAGGCCACGGCTCCCTTCAGTGCAAGAGCTCACCAGCGCCCCCACGAACATCATAATATGAAGGCCGCAAGCATCACTTGAGTTGGTCAAATACGCAGGGTTCATTCTGCTGAAGCTTTCTGCATCGGATCGGGGATCGTGAAGTGTGAACGCCCTGGTCCCCAATCCTGGAACAAATTTCAAGGGATTACATGGAGTGTCTGAAAGCCGCAAAGCCTAAAAGTAACCATGACCTACATCACTCTCTAAACGGTTAGAGAGTCAAACTGTTGCAAAACATGCGTGGCTCAGAACACAGTCAGGCATGCATGATGTGGGCCCTCCTCCCAACAAAGTGCTGAAGTCGACATAGCAAGAGCCCCGCCAAATCGTATGAGTTGCACTCTGGTGGCGTGAGCTGAAGCGCTTCAAGAGGTGTAGGGTGTCAATGGACAACATCACCATTGACAACATCACTGGAATGTTGCGGTAGCAAAGCTGCCCAAAAGGAAAGTAGGGGACACCCTCAATCCGTGCCACAGAGCATTGGTCCAAGAATGGGCCTCGCAGATCAGGCGTCGTGATGAGGCCACAGCCCGTTGAAATTATCAAGTCGTTGGCTGGCCACAGTCTACGGCAAACCCCAGTGGTGGCAAATCGTTGTTCTCTCTTGTTAGGGCGAGCAGCACTTGCCCAAGGACTCTATGAAACAAATTGGTCTTGCCCTCACTCTCATGGTAAGAGACAAAGATCATACCGCACATCCTTGCGATCAGACCGGCGCACTATAGAAAATGAATAGTTTGCTTGCTCAGCTTCTCAGGGGGTAGTCGGTCTAGCTGCTTCAATGCGCTCCAATCATCCTCCGCTGGTTCACTATAGTCTCCCCAACAACGATTTTCTCCCCCGGACTGAACAGGCCAGAGGTAAGCTGGTAGGATGCCGACCAATAGGGTTCATCAATTGCCACAAAGTGCACCTCACGCATCGAATCAGATAAGGTTGTCGCTTTGCGGATCTCCTTGTCAATTGATGCCAAAAAATGGAAGCTCTTGACAATCTCAAATGTAACTGAAGCACACGGGTGGGGACAGTGTTGAGACGCTCCAGAACATTTCTGGCTCTGCTGCGCTCGTCTTGGCATGAAACAATAAAGGCTGGCAACATTGGGCGCTTCAACGGCAGCTGCCTCCGCAAGCATCCGGAATTGACCCCGAAGAAAGTAAGTCCTGAGTGGAGGACCGGGTACGCAAGGCTGAGTGAAGGCTTCGATTGAATTATGACTTATGCAAAGCCCAACGCTATGATTTCTGTTGTGTTCCCTTAAGAAAGTAGGACACACTTGGAAAACCGCCCGCTTAAAAAAAGGTCAAAATTGAAATCCCATGCGCTGTTCATCTATGATGAGGTGTGTCATGATACAATTAGAGACGCCAAAATCCGCAACAAGACCACGTCCAACTACGACCACCCTGCAAAATCCTATCGCACCCAAAAGTTTTCTGCCTTGCATCGTCTCCCCCCCCCCCCCCCCTTTTCCCACGATTCGTCCAGTCTCCTCCTCTTGCAAAGCTCTTTGCCGCTCCAGGACCAGCACTTCATGAGCCTCCAACATCTCCTCCCGTGCGCACTGTTCGTGACGCAGAGCTTCCAAGCGCTGCTCCTGGCGGAGTCGGAGATGACATGGAGAGCTGTCCGAATGATTCAAATGACTCCAATGACCATCAACACGAGAGATTCATGGAGTGATTCACAACCTCCCATCTAAAGCGTGTGGCATTCGCACATCTTTTAAGACAGGGTATGTGTCAACATAAGAACCCTTGGTGTCAAAAAGGGGCTTTTAAACCTACTGTATCAAGCGCCGGTCGCAGCAGGAGGTGGTCTCTGCGCCAATTCTTGTTCACTTTCCGGAAATCACTTTCTTTGGGCCTTTGCCGGAGGTCACTTTCACTTTCCGGGAATGAGCATTCTGTCGTGTGGTCAACCCCCTCCGTTCTTTAGGCTTAATATCATCGAGGATCTTCTGAGTGACCTGACCTCAAAGGCGGGCGAACACAGATTCGGAGCACTTTCCGTCGCCCGTGGTTGACGTGAACACCGTATAAAACTGCGGTCTTTTGGCGGTGTTCTCCGGGTGCGTCTCCAACAACGGCTGATCAGAGCATCAATGACACATGTTCCATCCATCTCATTCAGAGAAAACCTGCTTCGGAGTCATTGTCATTACTGTACTCACTTCTACCCAACCAACGACAAGCCTCTTCTTCAAGCTTCACATCCAGCTCCTGCCATGATGGCTCATGACAGCTCGGGTCAGCATGGTGAAGAGATGTGAAGAGTTTTGGCCGCGGCGATGGCCCGGGCGGCCCTCGTACATCTGTGAAATCCATGTCAGTGTGGCCCCGGCCTCAACAAGCAATATCGAGCAATGACACATAAAGTTTGGGCAGTCCCGAAGCACCTATTGCAGCAAATGAGCTCAACAAATCTGAACATGAAGTTAAGAAACTCAAGGGTCCCTTGATGCCCCTTGCAAGACTCAGGATTGCGTGGCAAACCTTTGCGAATACCCGTGAAGCCCATAGCATCAGAATATGTCACAATGGACAGGAGGTGGAAAGAAAAAGATTCCATGGGCACACACAACTCAACCCAAAGCGGGGGCGTATACTAGAATCCAATAGCGAAGACTTACATTAAGTTTCGCAAAGCAATTGGACAGGTCTAACCGGTATAAAGCCATTTCTTCTCGGAATTTCTCGGACCTGTAGACCAAATCTCACCTGATGATCATGTTTAGAGGATTTTAGATGCATTTACCACTATCAAGGTATCTCAAAATATCTCACCCATTCTCAGCCACAGGTACCTCTCGTTATCTCTCGTTTATGGAGGGTATATTGGCCAGTGTGCCAGTGTACAATCGAGTGGTGCCAGGCCGCATGAGGCTCCCCAAGAAGGCTGAGATCACAAAGGGCACCCAAAGGTTGGCGCAAATGAACAAATGAACATCATGACGCATTCGGCCTCACCACATCCAATGAACACCAGCCCTGCAAAGAAGCTCAGATCAATCGGTGGAACCAACACCGGCGCCAAACGGACTGCGGCCCGTGCTGGTAGAGGCAATCCAACAGACCAATGTGCCATGGGCAGATTTCGTGAAAAAGTGTAGCTACCAAGGAATGCTTTTGAAAGCCGCTGGCTTTTGTGATATGGGATTTAGATGCCAGCGGCCTCAATATTGCAAATGCCATTGTGATTGCATCGACACTGTGGAGGCAAAGCGAGACCAAGGGGCCACAGCAATTGGAAACTTGGATTGGCCGTGAAGTCACATCTTCCTATCTTCCATGATTTCGGGTCAATGAGTCATAATGAGTCAATGACTTTTACTCGCTGCATCTCGCTGCTAGCTTGAAATGTCGCGTTGAAAGGGCAAGCTGTTCAACGCAAGCTGTTCCATTCTATCTCATGTCTCCCTGTCCGTCCTTGAGAGATCTGAAGAGCACCAAAGAAACACCGAAAAAGATGGCGGCGTGGCCCAGCCTGCACCTGCACGAGCAGCTTCCGGGAGGTCGTCCCAGCAAACGGATGCCCTAAACAAACCAGAATCATTACACCAAATGGTGGGCACTCCCCATTCCTCCGTCGTCGTCGTCGTCGTGAATTTGGCTTTGAAGGTGTATCACCAGGCTGACATGTCCATCATGGACTCATAGAGGGTCGGCGCCACGGTGTGCCACGTGCCATATGGTACCATCTTCCAACAGTATGGTTCCATATGAATCTATATATACATATATGAATCAACCAAGAAATGCTTGGATATGCTTGGATTCTGCATGGTTCTGCCTGATGGTCCTTCGAGAGATGGTGGCAAAGCCCCTCCCGAACAAAAGCATCGTGAAAACTATACCATCCACTGGATACCATTGGATATCACTGGATCTTCAAAAAAGGTGGGGGCAGCACGCGCTAACAAGTACTGCCTGCGAGACGGATGAGATGGGATGAGCTTTCTGCACTAGGGTGGAGTAATGCCAGCTGGGAACATATCCTCATGACCAGCGTTCACTTTGGACGGTCATGAGTCATGTGTCAAGTATTTATAGTTTTGTCCACTTGTAGATTTGGACATTTTAGAGCCGATCTCCTTATCTAATCCTTTGATGCAAGGAAGCACGCCATATATTTAACATTCATTAAAGACCTCAGTGATGCTTCTAAGTCGATCCGGCTGCTGAAATCTTCACCGTCTTTCCTTGGGAAAAAACCTCACCAACTGAGGGCACTGGGCTTCCGGACCTGGCCGAGTGGCATTGTCGCATGGCGAAGGCAAAGGCAGACTAGATTTAAGGCCAGCGTTCAAAAAACAAAGCCACATGAAAAGAACATGTGGGAAAACCAGGAGCCGCTTCTGAACCTTCTCTACACAGTCGGGAGTTCAAAAGGGTCTAAATCTAAATGGACCTATCCGAACCTATCCTTTGATTGGACAACTTTCTGTGAGAAGATGTGAGAAGCAAAACCGCGCATGGCTGCGATGGTCCGGAACATCAACACATGTCCGACCGCAACACCACAATAAATGGATAGACGAACCTGGATATCCACCGCCTAGGTCCCCCCCTATATCCATTTCTCCTGGGAAGGTGGATTTCCTTGGCAAATCAGAAGCTACTAGTAAGGGCATCGGGCATCACTACTAGTGGCAAGGACGCGACGAACGTAGCTCCTGTTGGTGTTCCTGCTATTTAAGACGTTTTGTAAATAAGTACAACGGTTAGAGAAGGATACCACTCATTGAGGCCTTGCCCCCCTTGGCATGCCACTTCCGAGCCTTCCTGCCATCTCCTGGCTTGTTGCCATTTTTTCTATTGTAGGCTGTGGATTCATGCAGATGTCAGTGTCCCTGAAACAAACCCATCCACACATATATGTACGTTCATTTTCATCAGGGGCAGGCCTCTCCAAGACCCTCTAGACCTTCTATGACCAGGGCCTAATTTGATCCAGCCTTGCCTTTCGTTAGAACGCGCATTGTTAGTGTATGGAAGTCTGACCCTGTGATCCACTTCATCAAAAAGAGCTTGAACTCTGAGCATATATACAATGCGTGCATGTGGTGACATGCACTGCAAGTTCAACTGCCCAAAACAGGCTGTTCTTTCTTTTGGACCCAAGTAGCAGTGGATTTTGATGGCTATCTTCATAGCAATCCAAGGTTTCCATTGCTACAGCACAGGGTAGGGGTTAGAGTATGTATAGTTTTTCAGTTTGGAGACCCATCCGGTGACTGCAAGAAGGACTGCAAAGTCAGAAGGGCACGCCATCTGTCTGAGTCTGAGTCGCCAGCGCTGTGCCCTTGAAGTGGTCGGCAAAAGTAATGTAGCCATCCAAGCCAGGCTCATTGTCTGCACAAGTAGAACATTGGCGCTACATGTTGCGTGCATGTGGACGAGCATTTGTGCCTCGATATCTGTAGATGTATGATGACGCATGACAACTGCGAAGATCGTGGAGGCTTCAACTGGTTTTAGACGGTTTCAGCTTTCACCGCCTCAAGTCTGCATAACCTAGGTCAAATCATATATTGAACTCTCCCACCTTCCAGAGCCCTCACATTCCATTGACTAGGGACTTCCCTCGTTCCCTCGCCTTCCAGGTTCAGTTTTTGAAGCTTCGCGCAGTTGCGTGCGATGGCCTTGAAGGCTGAAGGCCCCAAGCCCATGCTGCGGAGGTCCCACTCGCGGACGGAGCTCATCCTTGGTGCTCGTCCCGCTGCCAGAGCGCCAAATGGGCTCGGACGAGCGGCATGGGATCGGATCAAGAGCCGGTCGCGCATGGAAGTGGACGTGCGGATGGCTGGTCGCCGTGGACGTAGGTGTTTATATATATATATATATTATATATATATAGAGGGTGAGGACCCTGGTTGTGACACACACACAATTGATCTCAAAATATCTCAAATGAACCGTTGCGTCTCACAGTGATCACAGTGACTGGCAGCAGTTCAGGTCGCAACACGATGCAAAGGGTGTGACTGTGCGGTTGGAGGGCCATCACCTGAGATCAAAGCCTCAGCAGAAAAGACAGACCTGCCTTAAGAATCATGTAAGCAGGCCACACAAATAGAGTTCAATGCACGCAACTGACTTCACCAAGACACAACTTTGCATGTGCGCTGAGGCTGCAAACTTTTTATCCACAAATGACAATTGCCCCCCCTTCAGCAGTGCTTGCACTCCCTGTCGAACACCTCTGCCGTGTTTGCATGGCCAAGCCTCCCCATCGCTTCCCCCACAATGCCCAGATCGCCACATCTGTTGTGGCGAAGATCTATGTTGAGCAAGGTCTTGTTGCTCTTCCTCGATGGCAAAGGCACGCAAAGCACGACATCAGTATGTATGATGCACACCCCGACACACATAAAGCCCCCAAAAGAACATCTTCATCTTCTCCAGATCGCTGAATCGCTGACGTCGCGATCACGGTCGGCTCGCAGATTCGCACGTGGGGCACCGGGTCACCGATCCGTCCATCGGGTCACGCGCCAAGCTGCAAAGCTTCGCAAATGACCTCCACACCCATCGCAGTCATCGCATTGGCATGGAGGCCCAGAGTTTTGATCGTGTCATTGGATCCTGAGATGCCAAATTCATGGAAACCTGGAAACCTAGATCCACCAAGACTCATCAAAGGCTGGGGAACCATCACAAGTTGCATGACAAACAGAACAGCTCTGCGAGTCAGCATGTGAGGGGGTTGCAATTGCGATAACACTTCTGGGTTCTTCTGGTATCTCTCTCATGTATGTACATGTGTCTACATCTTGGAATATTATTCCAAAAATTATTCCAAATTTATAGGTAGTACCTTGAACCACTACCTAGCTAAAATATTATTCCAGAAATATTATTCCAAAAATTTTCCAGTAGGTCAAATGACCCCTGGAATATGTTTTTAAGCCATCCCCTATTTTTTAAAGCCATCCCCTATTATAAAAGGAGTCCTTGGTCAATCTGTGGTCTTGGTCAATTGCTCCTCCACCGAGGTCCAAATCATCCACCGGATCCGGCTGGAAGATACCCCGCTTGGACACGGAACGCGCGCCCAGCTGAACCGTGCCGCTCAGCTCACGTGTGCCGAGATCGACCCGGAAAACCCCGGGCGGTCCAAAGTGCATTAAAGGAACGGATCATGCATGCAATGGCCTTTGCCCCGTCATCCTGGCGTGAGCGCCAACGCCGTGACCAAGCTCCAAAGTCGCCTATGGACCGGGGGTCATGTGCGATACTTGAAGTACAAATGGAGATTGACGGAGATCATCTAGTGGCACAACGTGATCGTTCCAACGTTGGACTTCTAGCAAGCGCAGTGGGTGCCTGGGGCCTGGAGAACTGTGGTTTGGAAGGGTACCGTTGTTACTGATTTTTGATCATTTTCGTGTGCCTGCACAGGGTCTCGGCTAATCCTGCAGCCCATCCAACAGTGAGAAGATGAGTGCAGAAACTTCCGGAGTGAGTTTGGAACACGAAGGGGTTCCCGAAGGATTTTCCTCACATCCCAAGGGCAATTGCAAAAGTCCTGAATGGAGTTGTAGTCGCAAAGAAGCAGCCGCAGCGAGCTCTGCGCAGCAGCTTCGGCAATCGCCTTCCTTGGAACTGGACTGGTCCACGCCGTGCCTTTGGCATCTTTGGTTGGTGAACATGTCTCAAAACCAAACTTGCAGTTATACCCAAATCAAGATGTAGCCCAATGGATAGCAGGATGAGTTGGTTGCCGCCAGAAAAAGACTTTGGTTGCGCTGGAAAAGGATGCAATCATTCTGCCTCGCCTCAGCATTTGCATGCACGAAATGCTCAAGCTTGCCCTATACCACTTTCTTGAAATCCAATTCCTGAAGCGCTACTGACTGCGTAGGTCACATGCTTAACAATTTAACAGGTCTAGATCCAACCCTATACTGGACTTGGTGTAAGACTTCCAGCAGTTGTACATGCCTAAGTGTCAATTGACAATATATTATATTTGCCTTCCCATCCAACATCATCTTTGCTCCATCCCTTCAGCTCCCATCCCTCCTCCATCCCCCGTCTCGTCTCGTATGTCGTCTCGTCTCGTTGGGATCGAGTCTCCCTCCTTCGGGCCCCACGTCGTTCTCGGTGAGTCGGAGCTCTTCGAGCCGCCGGTTGCTCCTCGGGGTCCGGGGAGCAACCCAATGCCGGCCGATGCCGGCCGTGGTTCCGCACGAGGTGTCTGAAGCCGTGCCCGGGGGGTTCTCTTATAGAGGAGAACACAGCAAGGCATGTCAAATCAATCAAAGTGCCGGCAGAACTGTCAGGCATGGTGGGATTCTCATTCGCAGAACGGTTCGCACTGACGACATCTGATCACCTGCCAGGTGGGTTGATGAAGCATCAGTTTGGGTGGTTCGGTTGTCATGGCAAACAGGACAAATAGTGTCACCGCTCACAACGCCACGGTGGCTCCATGCGGCCTCCAGCTGTGCCACCCAGCTTCCGCAGCAACTGTGCCAGCGCCTGTGCGCCGGTCACGCCGATGTTGCCCGCCCACGAGAGATCCAAGTGCCGCAAGCCCGTGTGCAATGCCTGGCAAGAAGGTGACAACGCAAAGATTGTGTTTGTTGTTGCTGTTGTTGTTGGCGGAGGTGCTTCTTTGGGGGTGCTTCGGGAGAGTATTTTACTTCCAAGTCAAGTAGTATATCACCCCATATCACCCCACCATAACTCCACCTAAAAAGGCGGTGATGTTTGCCCGTTTTTGCTAAGGTTTTGCAAAAAAGAAACAAGTTGGTCAGGTGGTTTGTCTTCGGGTCCCTTTACCTACAAACAGTTGATTGATGGTCTAGTGCAGGCCTGAATCATCCTGAATGCAAAAGACTTAGATGTCGTATCCAGGCTGAGTGGGGGACCTATACACATACATGACCTACTGGTGTTGGAACATCACCACTATTGGATTGGTTGAACTCTTTTGGGAAGTGTTTGGACACTGCATACCGCAGCATGCGTTTCCTACTGCAAGATCCTAAAAGATTTGGATGGATGATTCAGGATACGTGAAAACCAAATGCCCAAAACCATTGGTTGGTGAGCACTGAGGCTTTGACCATCATCCTGCCCATGTTCAGACTTGTCACCCAAGCTTACATGGTTTCGCCATCGGTTTTCTTAACTCCAGAAAGCATGTCATCAAACTAGTCCCCTATAGCTTTCAACATCCACTGAGCATGGAGCTTTTTATGCTTTTCTGAGTCACCCCGGACATTGACCCCAAGATGTGCCAGCAAGCGGAACAGTTCCGAGGGGAGTGTCTCTTGGACAAACAAATAGGCCTGGTTTCGGAGCTTTTGACGGGAACCCTGCCGGATGTCCTCCATCGGACAGCCCTCACAAACTGGTCAGGTGGGGTGGCTGTCCGGGTGTCCCATCCGTCCCAGCGACCAAGGCTGTGGTCACAATGAGGAGCCCTTCTGCTTGGAGGTCGTTGTCGCCGAAGTGGAAGCTCTGCAGCCGTGGATTCGCAGCCACCGCGTTCCTCTCGGCGCGGAGACGGTGCGCGCGGAGAAAGGTCGTGGGACCAATTCGCCAAGCATCATGATGTGCTCGACACCTTCGACTCCCATGCGGCCGTTGTAGTTGATTCTCAAGGTCCTGGGTATCGAATGCACATGAATTCACTATTACTCCCAACACACGGTACTGGGAGCGTAGGGCAGCAACTAGCTGGCGGCTACATCAAGGCCTTAGGCGGAAAAAAGTAGAGACGACGGGAAAACTATATTCTGCAATGACATGTCACAACTCATTGGACAAGTAACCCCCCACCCCCAAAAAAAAAACAATGTTCACCAAATCAATGCCCAAACATCTGGATAGCATGCAATCCTCGATACTCCTCTAATTAGAATGTTTAAACTTATACCATTTCTTCTGGATACTATGGGATACCTTGGAGGCAATCCTCTATGATCCTCGCCTCAAGCTCTGATTGGAGGCGATGCCCTCACCCAATGCGCGGGCGCCCTCCGCCGTCAGCTCATTGCCCGTGAGCCATAAGCTCTGAAGGAACTGGTTCGACTTCAAGCCTCAGATGGACAGAAAACAAGGGGACTGGTCAGTCTTGCTTTGAAGACTCGAAGCCTGTTGATCCGGAGCTTCATCCAGAGCGTCACCAGCAGGGACGGCCAGTGACGCGACGGACGGCGAAAACGTGGTTCCATTCCAATCTCGAGAACCCAGGGACGGCCAGCGGTGGTCTTTTGGAGTGGCCTACTGATGGAAACAATGGGATGTGGAAAAATGAAACAAAACATCAGCCACTCGGCCACTACACTGCCAAAAAGGGCAGGAAGCTTTCTGACAGCTCCTGCTGGTCGACGTCTTCAATAGGCACTTTGGAGAGTTGCAACTCCACGGCGTTGGACGATGGCCGAAGAAAAGCCAACCAACGACCAATCTCCTCTCGACCCATCGGATCAAACCGCTGCCAGGCTGGGCTTTGACACACTTGAGCACTTACCTGAACCGCTAGGGTCGACCACATGCTGTCACATGAGACTTTTATCTAAGGTACATGTCATAATGTCATACATAATACATATATATAATCAAATATAATATATGATATCATTCATATTATGGACATTGTACAGGATCGAATCCACCAATAAGTTTAAGGTTTTTCCTGTAGAGGCACCAAAGAAGGTGGAGTGCTTGGGTGATGAGCCAATGCCCACGGCGAGCACAACAACATCCTGGTGTGACCAACGCAAAGCAAAAACATCGCCAAACAACAGTGGTTGCTGGCGTCTTTTGTGTAAAACCGTGCAACGTCTACAACGGCTGGATTTCACTGTAAGGACTTCCGGAACGTTGCGGAAACCTAGATCATGATGTTGCAGAATCTGAGACTATTGTTGTTCAAGATCCTGCCAGTCAAGATGGAAAACGTTTGCCAGCATGGCAAGTCTATACCCAAATGAAAGGTCCCTTTCAACTTTCTACTTGTATCACAACCTCCAAGGGCATGGGGCAAGTGGTGGGTTGAATATGCATATGTACCCATGAAATATCATAAAATTATATAGATATGAAATACGTATCAATATTCAGTCAAAGATCGGTATGCATATCATCTCGGATGGTTCTGGGTTGCCCTGCCCCCAGCTGCTTTGGCCCAAGTAGGGCGAGGGTGCAAGACGTGCCGGGCCCCCACATCGCAGCATGACATCAACGGCCGGTGGCTGATATGCTTTGATGATGCAACTGTGGCAACTGGGTAGGTGCTGGATCCAATCAAAGTAAGAGAGGAGACCTCTGTGCTGTGGAGCAGGCACTACGGTGTAGACCACTGCCCTCCAATACCTGGGAATGCTTTCGTTTCATCTTTGGTGTAAAGGGCACAATTCTCCCAGCAGCTCTCGGTACAATGCTTGCACAGTTTAATTGAGATTAAAGCATCGCTCGGTGCTGCAGGAGCTCATGCAGTATGCATTGCCCAGAATGATCGGTCTTCCGCTTCGGCGCCGTTTGTGGTTGTTCTGCTCAGCTAACGCCAATTGCAACGGTTCTGGGCGACGTTGCAGGACAACTTCGCTTCTGCAACTCATGGGTTCATCTAATCAAGAGTCTCTAGAGGAATATGGGTCACAAGCATGACCGTCCGATGGACCATTGATCAACAAAAAACAATGTCCCCTGTTCTAGATCACAATGGCCATAATGACCGGTGCAGAATTGGAATCCTGTTTCTATGGGCTAGTAGTAACAAGAAGCTACTAGGAACAAGTGCATCGCTAGTAGTAACAAGTGCCTTACTAGTAGTAACAAGAAGCTACTAGTAACAAGTCTCAGACGGTGCGTTGTTATTTTTTTGCCACTTGGCCCACCTCTGCCCCAAAAAACCGAGCACCGTGACGGATCCGTATGCCGCGGGCTGGTTTGACCAAATTAGCATGATCAGTGCAAACACAATGAAGTGCGGTAAAGAGCGGGAGCTCCTAAGGCACCCCCACCACTTCTTCAAAACAACAGCGACTCGAACTAACCAGGCCAGTGAAATGCATTTTGCCACTGCAATTGATTAAAAGGACCACATCGCCCGAAGATCTACACACTCCACCCCACCCTGTCATCGGGTACCAACGGTCTCCAGCCCCTCTGAGCCTCGGATTGAAGCGACATGGCATCCACATATCGTCCCGCGAGAGGGGCCTCGCGTCTCTGTATTCAAAGGCTCACATTGCGCATATGAACCAGGGGGAATCGTGCTCATGTATTCATGAATCTGATTTTGAGTTTGATCTCTCGCACCATGTAGACCTAATTGAGTTGGGTCAAGCCATACAAAAATCCAAAGTCTAGAAGGGTGTTGTGAGTGGCAGCACTGCCATCAATTCCATACACCAGTGTCTGCCGGTTTTGCCTCATCACAATGGAAGTTCAATCACTTGGCTCGCTCCTAATTAGTAAGTCATAAGAAAGCTTTAGCAAACATCTATATGGTAAGAACACTACTGTAGTGAGGGATTGAAGTGAAACCTCCATTCATGCGAAGTCGTCTATCCAACTCATGATTTTTCTAAACGATGCACCGCCATCCGACGGTTGGGCCAAGCGCCGTGGAACAGTTTGCGACCGCGAGAAAGGCTCTTGCCCCTTGCAGTTCATGGTGTTTTTTAGTATGGAATCCCCCCCCAAAGCGAAAAACAAAGATATAACATGATTGGACAAAAATGACAAAAATTTATATCCCTTATGCTCCAGAACACTTGTCACAGAGTGTCTGGAAATCCAGCTGGTGAGAGAGGGTTTGGGGCTCATAGTTGCTGAGTGATGCCGCGAGGCTCCAGGAGCGGTCTCACGGACTTTTGATGTTTTTGTCATGCTTCCACGCGTCTTTTCATGTGTGAAACGTTGAAGTTGCATCATGCTGCATTGGATTTCTCATCAATCCATTGAAGTTGCATGATGTTGCATTTGATTCAATCCGATTTGTACTATGCATAGCTGCTAGCTGGTTTGTCTGCAACGGATGGGCCTGCTGCGGGATGCTGCACTGAGAGGTTCGCGTCCCTACCATGCCGAGGGATGATCCATTTGTGTTGATCAATATCTCATGTCATGTAGATCTAGACTGACATTTTGAGTTGCACATGTTGACCTTGCCGGGCTCAACCTGCAGCCTTTGCTCACTCAGAGAAGGCTGCATTTGACTGCCTGGCAGCATGGCTGTGGCGTCGACTCCCCTGGATGGTGGTGCTATCGCGGTGACTTCACCCTTGAAATTTCGTTTGAGTGTAACTTGGGCAATATGATGAGTGATCATGAACTAAAGTTCAATATAGGTCCACATGCATGAGTTGAAGGAGTTCTGAACGAAACCCATTTATATACCTGAATGCAAGGCAATTGGCTATGCAATTCACCTCGGCGTCAAGCAGTACATAGAGTCGGACCAGCCGCTGATCATAGAACGAGAGGACCATTGATCGCTATAGGATATTGTTGACTCTGGGACCGTTTAGCTCGATATGCGAGCTCCGAGTATGCACAGCATGTGTCCACCTCCTACCTTCCAGGATAAATGGATCATTGCCTGGGATCGCACCGAAGACACCCAGGTTTCGTTGGCGTCAGCCTCAGTGGACAGGTTAGTTGGAGAACTATGAGTCCCAAACCCTCTCACCAGCTGGATTTCCAGACACTCTGTGACATGTGTTCTGGAGCATAAGGGCCTATCTGACCACACCTCAACACCACAGAGCTCAGGTGATGGAGAAATTCCTACAGAGCAACTACGAGGTGGTCAAGGAAGTCCTCATCAATGTGCACGCGAAGTGCAATGATTGCTGGACCCATGGAATTCCGACACTGGCTGACTTCGAAGTTTCTTGCTCTCATATAAACCCACATTCGCAAACCGTTCAAAAACATTTGAAGAACGAGTGCATGCATTTTGTCATGAATCGCATTCACACTCCGATAGTTCATGATCAGTGTGACCACTGCCAAGGGTGCGATGGTGTATAGCACCATAGCCATGAACTTCCACTCAGATTTGTACCATGTCCGTGGAGGGAAGAAACGGATCAGGGTGACTTGTCTTTTTAGCCTTGGCCATGGAGCATGTACAGCTGATCTCCAATACCCAACCTTCCATGCTTGAGTGGGTCCACTGACAACTGCTCAGGACTGGGCGCACATAGAGGCAACCCGCCTCAGGGCATGCTTGGCACATTTGAGCAGACTGACCTACAAGACAGAGGAATCCAGGTTCGGGAACTATACATGTTCTTTTAGCTAGCTAGTGTGAACGGCAGCTTGTTGTGTTTTCATCTCATGGCCTCTTGTAGAGACTCTACTCTCTGCGACAGGAATCCTATCATCAAGGTGCTGAAAAAGCTCTACGTCCATGTGCGTGTGCCGCTCCCAGTTAATGGGCACTTGCAATATGGCCAACTAAGAATTGTATAAAGTCATGGTTGCAATGAGGGCAGCCGCGCAGCCAAGCATAATGATGAGCAGCTGCAGGACTGTCAACGTTTTGTGCACGTTGATTTTGCAAAGCCACATAAGTACATAGCTCGATAAATGTTCTAGATCTAGCTATTAATGTGACACCGGTAACAACCTCCACAGATCAGGCTCCTGCTGGAAACAGCCTCGTCATTGACGACTTGGATGATGAGCCGATCATCATCGCTGCTGACATCAAGGACCCAGGTTTAAGGGAACCTATTTTAGACCATCAATGAATGCTAGCATGGTGACACCAATGATGCAAAATATAATACTCCTCCACGACACCTTCTCTCCCTTTCAGTCCATGCCTCCGTCTCCCAGGACCCTGCGGCTTTGCAGAGCCTGGTGAATCCAAAGGACAGGTGAGTGCAATATGTATACACGTATTTTTTGATCGAACGTTTTGTGAGCAAACTGGGTCATATTAGATGGGACTGCATGCAGGAGGAACAACCATCTGACGAAGCTGCTTGCCACCAGGTTTTCAGCGAATGAAACCGAGCGCTTGTTTTGTGTGCGCATGTGTGGGACTTTATGTTCATGATATCTTGGATCCGGAGTTTCTTTGATTAGGTTGCACCAGCTGAAGCAAACCACCATGCAGAAGCCTCCCAAGCCGTGGAAGAGGCGTACTTGCAAATTGCACTGCAAGCTAAGCATACCAATTAGTCATGTACATGTACAGTATGCTCTTGAACCGGAGGCTGCGTATGCTCTTGAACCGGAGGCTGCTAACCTTGATCTTGAGATGGTGCATGACAGCCAGGCCATAAATGAAATCAGAACTGGAGCTCGAGATTTTCTAACGAGAATCCCTGATGATCTCTCTCTCTCTCATGCAGGTGGATCCGTTGACTGATGTGACTGGTGCTCCACCTTCGCATGAAGAGGCTGGAGCGAGCCAACACATGTGGGTGTCTGCGTTCACTTGGTTGTAATACAACAAGT